AATGATGTGGATGTGCAAAAGAAGTACAACACTAATTATGTAAATCCAAATACTGGTGATTAATAACACTGATCAAACCCAGGCTATAACCCCTGGCTGTGTGGGGACAGCAAACGCTGTGAACACAAAGTGATGGTTGCACGTCCCAGCTCACCCAAATCATACTTTCAGCTCCGCTAGCTTCAGAAATATATGTTGTTAGCTACGAGAGGAAAGTGCCAAAGACCAAAGACTTCATAGTCATGTTTAAGATCTCGTTGGTCACTCACAGTAAAAAGTCACATTAATGTTAAAGCTGTACCTTTCAGCAACTTTGCTAGTGGGGTTTGAACACTTGATGTTTTCCATGTGTGAGGCCTCCCGTCTGAAGGAGCATATGTGTGGATCACGGCGCCCAAAATCAGCATGGTACACGTGGATGACGTGGCCCTGGTCTGTCAAAGAAAGCAGTGCGTGCTGTTGAAAACTGAAGAAGGGTGCTTGGAGAGGCAGTTATCAGGACACGTCAAAGTTTGTCGGGTCACACGTGATCTTACCGCACTGCAGTTCGACCATAGACTGCTCGCAGGTTATCAGGTGAACTGCCAAAGTAACATCAGTCAGATTAGGTGGAGCACTCAGAGCCTACTGTTTAAAGCAGGTGCGTGACTCACTTGCTGGTATACAGGTGTAGGTGGTCTGGATGTATTTAAAGGTGTCATTGCAGGGATCTCTTGCAAAGATGGCCGGGGTTACTTCACACACCTTCTTGCCGTCACAGCTGAACAGATAATAGAAAGTAGAGTCAGCAGTGAAGCACCATGGGAAATCCCACCAACGCTGAGAAGAACAGTCTTTCATTGGGTTCTACGTGATTATGGGGTCTTGTAAGGTAAAAGGAATTCCCCACAAATATCATCAAAGTGAAATCGTCTGTTTTGTCTGAGGCGAAAGGCTCGCAGTCCCAGCTTTGCACTGGATCTGATAACCTGGCATTTCTTACTCCACGATCATTATCCATGAAAGCAAGAAGGCACTCTGATTCTTTTATATTCACTTTTCAAAAAGCATCTCGTCTTCCAGACATGATCTCTCACATCACTGAAGTTTCACACTATACATGCAGCACATTTCATCCCCTGTTATTCTACAGGACCTGTCCCGACTTCTTTGATGTTGGGCTGAGAAACAAACTCAGAGCAGGTCCAGTCAATCAACAATCATTTATTAAGCACATGCATGTGGCGATGTACACAATACCACCTTCTGTGTCGATCTCAAGAGGAAGCACTTAGATACACAGTTTCATATGTCAGGGTTAACGCTCCTTCATGCGCAGGCAGATAACATAACATGCATCAGTTACAGTTAGAACAGACATAATTCCTTTTTGGTAATCTTCTATAACACTTAGAAATATCTATATGTGGTAATCAGCAGCAGTGACATCCATTGATAACAAATACCGGTGTGTTATTGGGACGTATACCTTGTCCTGATGGTGTCTTCAGCACCCTCCAGAGAGCACGCAGTATTGATGGCCACCTCTTCAGCTTTCTCTCCACTGCACGTGTCCCGGTCTCTTCGTCCATACATGGACTCCTGGACACGAATCACTCCAGTTTCTGTTGGACATCACAGAGGCAGGTATTCAAACGCAACGACAGAGCTTACCAACCAGGGACGTCTGCAGCTGCCGTCAGCTTCACAAACTCACAAACACAAACTGCAGAGATGCTCACTCGCTGCTTTGTATGCTTCCCAAACACAAATGTCATTCCTGTCTTACATACTCTGTACTCATAGAACCAAATCAAGGATCCCTTAAAGAAACGGGCGTGTTTTCCAAATCTAACTTAGTGGTGATTATATTAAACTCATGTGTGCCACTTATTTAGTTTTGATGCAATGTTGTGTGGAGGTTCTTCCAGGCGGTAAATGACGGTGTATGTTTGCTGAAACACTTCACAGGGTTTAAAATCCACCCGTCCATTCTCTCCCGCCTATCCTCAGAGTGTGGGGGTAATGTACCACCGTGTGTGGCTCCTGGCTCTATACGACCACTTTGGCTTTCTGTATGGACACTTTTTCTAAGGCAGCTGAAGAGATGTGAATAAAAACTGGAGGAATAGGACACTATGGTGTAAAGCTTCTGCTGGATATCAGCATGTGGAGTTCTGTACTCATGGTTTAAAGTCGGTCCTGAGTGTTTCTGCTCTCGTACCTCACTGTGTGTCTATGATGTGATCTGTGTTCGACATTCGTCCCCAATAAATAAATAACAATAACACGTAGAAACACTGCAGCGCTGAGAAACATGAGTGGTTGGGTCTTACCACAGCTCAGCCGGTGGACGTGGTTCCCACACGTGATGACTCTCTGCGCACCTTTAAAGCACACATGGAGCAATTAGTCTAACTCACATATTAAAACTAAGCACACTGAGAAACAATCAGACTAGCAGACACTTACCTGTGCTAACAAGCAGACAGGCTGCTGCCAACACTGAAAAACAAAGGAGCAGCACTCTCAATTTATAATGTGGCCAAATATGAAAACACGTGATACTTTACCCTTAAATACATGAACTGAAGAAATCTTCTTCAGCTAGAAAACAACATGAATGAGAAAATGCTGACTGTACTCACAGAGCGTGCTGCTGAGGCGGAGCATGGTTTCAGGGGACCCAGTGAGACTGATGCTTGCAGCAGAAACACGCAGCATTTATAGCTTTGAGTCTGTTTGCAGTCTCATCTTATCGTGCTAAACAAACCTTACCCCCCAGACTTTTGTTCAGCTGGATACGTGCCCAAACATGTGGCCAGGTGCTCGCCCAGTGAAGGATTTGACATGATTATACACACATGCAAAGAACATACAGTCCTGCTTGGATCAAACGTGCTGCAATGAATTTTTGAAGTGATCGATAACAGTAGAGCTCTTTACTGAGTTCATGTTTGGACCTTTGCTTTGTTTTTTGGGGGGGGAGGGGGGGGGGTTATAGGGTTTCTGGAGGTGTGGTCCTGTCAAACAGCCTGTTTCAGTTTAAATGTTGTTTTCAATAAATTGCATGCTCAGCAAAATGTTTTGTCTCAGTAACATTTCTTCTTGTTGCATGTTGAAGCTCGACCTGGAACCTTGTTCAGATCCAACCATGCAAAACAGGATTTAGTCATTTTTCTTGTGGTCTATGTGTTAGAGGGCCCAGGCCTGAAGGATAGACCGACAGGTCTGTGTAACAAAGACACTTGGCTCACTGTAACTTCAAAAAGTCATTTATTTCAGAACTGAAACTGTGTAATGAACTCACATGTTATCTTCTGATATATTAACCTGACATCAGTCTGCTCACGATGCCCTAATTCCCTTTTTGCTGATGGGCTCCATAAAATACTGTTTCCACTGAAGAAGCTGTGTTTTTATTTCATGGCCAACAGCTAAACTACTCTTTATGCTGTTTGATTGTCTGCACAAAGTAGAGAAATTGATATCTACCTCAGTTTTATTCTGTTGTATTTATTTATGCTTTTTTTATTTGATCTGTTTGTACATATTAACCTGCATCTGTGTGTGGACAGCAGAGAAAGACTTTCATTGCACAGAGAAATGCTTTTCTTTGTACACGTGACAATAAACGCTTGAATCTTTGAATCTTGAATCTTTGAGGACACATGGTTTCAGTGAATCAGGAAATACTGAACTAGCTGACACACAATTTTCAAAGTGAAAAAAGACAAACCTGCAGATTTTCCAAATGTAAGTGTGCAGGTTTGTTTCTGTTATCTGTGTGCTTCTGTTTCTGTCACAGATAACGCCGTTAGGATTGCATACCAGAATAAACAGAGCAGAAGAAGAGCAAACAGACAAGACAAATAGGACACAAATAGCAGATAACTCAGCACAAACACAGGCACGCTGCCACCACACGCAAGCATCACTGACAGTAAATCTGATCCTTGCAACACACAGTCTGCACTATGTGCTGAATAACATGGAATTGTAACCCTGATACTGTGCAATGCGTGCATGCCAGCACTGCTTCAGGGCAGTTTGATGTGCAGAAAAATAAATCAGATATTTTAAAAATAGAGGTCGTTTCCTTTGATCTGACTTGAGACATTCAGCTCCATGCAAAAGTCTGGACAAATCAAACTCATGCAGCAGACACACAAAATGTCTTCTTCTTCTTATCTTCTAATGTTTACGCCAACAGAAATACAAAAAGTATTTCTTATTTCCAAAGGTCAACACAGCTGTAATATCTATGTTACAGCTCCAGGCTTGGAGGGTATGACGATGATACTGTCACAGCTACAGCTGCAAGCGACATCCCACAGGTCAGCCGGGCACTCCCAGGCCTGACTCTGACGTAACACAGTTAATATAAGTGTGTAATGCAAAGTGACCACATCATAAGAGTTCTGCTCTGTCTCATAGTTTTTACAGCACACGTTGTTCTGATCAGGATTATTTTCAAATCTGTCCTTACATACTTTACACTACACTGATTAAAGTATACACCTATTCGGGAAAGCTGTGATGGCACAGATGCATGCTGGGAAATATAGTACTGGTACCTTCTAAACTTGCTGCCTGGTCCTCAAACAATTAGATCCTCAAAGAATTTTGCCTGAGAATTTGACTAAATCCCTGCAGACCTGCTGACGTCAACCATGCGACAGTTTTGTCTTATAGAGTTAAACAGCACAGCAGCATTTTATTTCATGTTGAGCGAGCAAAGCGAAAAATGGTGCTCAAAAGAGGAGAGAGAGAAGAGAGCAGGATGAGTACAACGACCCGCAAGGCTCAAAAGATACAGTCTGAAACATTGTTACTACTGTTGTTATAATATGTGCTCTTACTGTAATATGAGTGTCTGTTCCACTGTAAAGTAACACAGACCGAGGATGAGGTGACGCACACAGTGGGTTTGTCTCCTTTGTTCCATGATTACAGACATCGTGGTGTGACCTTATATGACGTGTACGTGTCCCACAGCCTGGGATTGCTGTTGTCCTCCATGGTGCTGATTAATTTTATTTTGCACGTGTGATTTAGAGAGAGAGTGAGGTGCTGTGTGTGCTTCAGTACAACATGATGGTGAGGGTCTATCAGAGTTACGACTTCAGATTCATGTAGTGCCAACACTTTCATGTCAGAGTAACAAACGACAAGCTTTGTAGCTGCAATAAAACAAAGACTGGGAGGCTTTGTTTTGTATATTAAGCAAGAAAAATGAAGCATGTCTGTTTGGGTTGTGCTCGGCGTGTATGACACACTGTGTCTGTCTAATACTGATCGATTGGGAAAGGAGCGGAGTTCAGCAGGAAGTTCAGCTGTTACAGTTTTCAGGTTTTCACACTTTTTTCACTTTGTCTCTGTGGCTGACATGTGGACGATCAGAGCAGCAGCAGCACATACAGACGCTCTCTGTACGCAGACCAAAGCTGTGCACCTCTGTTGTAAACTTCTCACTCAGAATTCATCAAACAGTCTTCTGCTGCACAGCCGAGGATTCTGACACTAGGTAAGAACACAGGCAGGATCTAAGCCCACAGAGCAGTCGTCCACAGTGTCCAGTCTGACACATGATGATCTGCAAACTGTCCATGAAGACATCTCAAGAAGCTGGTCATGACACAATAATGGGAATCAATGATAGTTTAATAGTGTGTGCAGGAGCAGAAAAGTCCAATTTGGCTGTCCAATCAGAAACAAGAAAGGAAAGGAGGTTAGCGTGTCCTCGATCGTATTTAGAAACTCCCCCGCTCATCCTGGGAACACACTAAAGTTTACGGCCTTTAGGCCTGTGTTTGAATCGAGCCTGCAGCCGTGAGCAGCATGTCTTACTCCTCGTCTTTCTGTCCTGTCGCACTAAAGGCTGAAAAAAACAAACAGAAAATAGCGAAACATGAAGTTTACACATACCTCTGCACTGAAAACAAACCTGGCCTCAGATGATTTTTACACCATAAACACACTCACAAATATTTACAGCAGGTGAGAAACTTTCATTGTCAGTTGTGTGCACAGTTTTGTGTGCTGTGGATGAAATCATGTGTATTTGATCTTTGAACACTTTGGGTCCAGCTGCCATAAACTGAGCGAATCTGCAGCCTAACAGTGAAGTCACGCATACACATCCACACACAGCTCGGCCATTGTACACTGCAGTCAAAGCCATATTGTTGAAGGTAAATAGTTGTGTAATTTTATCTTTTTTAACCTGCAGACCAACATCAGGGATGTTTGGAAAGTTCAGCTCCGCATGTCCTCATCAGTTCATGAACTTGGCTATAACACAGACCTATCTCATCCTCCAGGTTTATTATTTAACTACCTTGTCAATATTTGAAAGGCAACATGGCTTAGGACAAACAAAGTCATAAACTGGTTTCCACTGGTAATAGATGAGCCCCCAAGAAAGGCTCTGGAATCCTTGACCTTTAGCAGGACCTCTACCGGGTAATGGTCGCTGACATCCAGCGCCTGAATAAAAAACACAGGAAGAACAGCCAGTGTCAACAAATGAACAGAGACAGTAACAAAATCACAGCACACCGTGTTTAACACACTCTGTAGGTGTGTGTTTCTGTACAGTTCACACACACTGGTACAGACATGCAGAGCGTGGACTGTTACCTGCTCCTCCGTCAGTCCGTATTCCTCTGGAAAGTTAAACGGTTTGGCTGAAGCAGGCACGATGGCTCTGTGAAAGGTTTCCCCATTCACAACAATCCTGTTGGCACAAGCAGAGAGCAGCACACATTTACTCATGTCTCTTATTTCATTCACACGGTCACATTTAAGTCTGCTATAGTCTGCTTACATTTACATATTGCATATCAGCTTTTATCAAAGGAAACTTTGTTTCTTGAAAAGTTCCAGGGATCCTAAAATCTTGGGAACTCTCCTGAATCAAAGCTTTGTGCGTTTACCTGTCGTAGGGGCAGGATGTGGTAGATCGCACGGTGGTGTCAGCGTCGTCTGGGATGAGCCAAATAAGATTCGTGTCTGTGATTAGGCGCACATTCTTCCTGTTCTTCTTAGCGAGGTAGCCACAGCCCGCATTAAAGTCTCCAAGAAGCATCACATTCTGCCCATTACAGCACAGCGGTCACCATGTACACCTGTGGTATTGACTTCTTGTCTGTTTGATGAATGCCAAAATAGTCTTTACCTCAGTTTTCCACATGTTTCTCACATGCTGTAGAACATCATAGAGGGCATCGAGCTCCTTGGTGGTGTTGGAGGGCGTGGTGTGCTGAGGTATGAGAACAAACTCCTTTATAGCTGAGGATGGAAATGAGGGTTAGAGGGAGAATCCATCCAACAACACCAATATTTCCATTCTGTCACAGGGAAGCATCGGGGACCGACCTGTGCGGTCCGCTCTGAAGCGGACAACAAATGGCTCTCTGGAGAAAGCGTCGACGTCTCCTGGTTTATTATCAGGGTACTGATACTGGTCCGTGACCCTCACCGTCTCCTTCCTGAACACATTCAGGTTCAGTGAAGCCAGACTCCGTCACTATACCTGCACTTAGATGTCCTGTGCACAGAGGTGTAGCTCACCTGTACACAAACACGTACTGCTCCCGGTATGTCTCAGACCTGCCCAGTCTCTCGCTGGCCACAGTCTCATATTTATACTTGGTGTCAAACCTGAGGGTGAAACAGCACAGATGGGACGGGGATGCAGTCACTGCATGTGTCAGTCGCTAAGTTTGAGCATTTAGAGTCCAAACCACTCACCTCCAAACTTATGCAATAACATGTGTCTGTGGGTGTCTGTGGGTGTGTGTGGGTGACTGTGGGTCTGTGTGTGGGTGTCTGTGGAGGTATCTGTGGGTATCTGTGGGTGTGTGTGTGTGTTGGTGTGTGTGGGTGGAAGCGAATGAATAATCACCGTTTTAGGGAGTCGAGCAGCAGTGGTAAAGCTTTTCCTCTACTGTCTCTCACTTCCTGGAGCAAACACACATCACAGCGTGTGATGATCTGAAATGGAGACACAGCACAGCCATGAAAAGGTGAGTGGGAGTGGGACACACAGAGGAGCCACTCATTATTCGCCCCGCTGGTCACCTGCAATAAAATAAAAATGTCCTGCATCCCTAAAAATATTTGTTATATTTGTTCTTTTTGGTCCTTTTCCCAGACCACCGCGCAAATTAGAACGTGTTCATTCCGACTGATGTAGTAAGGAACGCGTTGGCATTGACTCTGCGCCACCTTGTGGTGCTAAATGATAATGCATGGAAGTGTCTTCATAGCCTTTGTTTGGTTGCTTTGGCTAATTTCACAATGTGGTGAACAAATTTTCAAACAGGAAACAAGTTTCTCTAAACAAATCATTTTTACTGATTCACTGAGTAATTCTGTCAGTTTGTTAGTGGCCCCACTAGCTACAGCCATGTAGTGACTATCGTCCACTAAAGAACCACGACACTGTCCCTCAGCTGCTTGAGACAAATACAAGAACACAAGCACTCTTACCCAGTCTTTCTTTTTACCTTACCCTGGCAAGAGTCACCATAACGTCACTCTTCTTCGACTTGGATTCACCAAAGTGTTGTGTGTTGAAGGCACAGATCCTAAAATCTGAACCAGCTTTAGTATCGGTCACATCCACGAGGACGGCAAGCAGCAGGAGGAGAGACAGACTCATGGCCAACAGCTGGAAGGAAGCACAGTCCCCATCGAGAAACATGATGAAACACATGAGCTGAGGGCTGCTACGGGACAAATTCAGCTTTGTTTGGTGTTTAAAAAAAACACTTTTGATGGAAGCTTTGATGTGAACATAACTGAGACGTGGACTAAAGAGGAGACAGACCACTGCATCTCTGATGGTGCAAAGAAGACGGGAGTTTGTTGCTGCCATCAAATCCAGAATATTTTCCTCTAATGGTGTTTCACCGTCTGTTTGATTTGGGAACAACATTTTTGGAGCTGGGGTTGTATAACTAAAAGGTTTTTAATTTGAATGATTTTAATTGATAAAAAGAAGTAAACAGCAAACCAGCACAAATCTAATGGCTGTTGTTGCTTGTGCATAAACATGAACTGTGATTATTCCTGTTTCTCGTGGTTTGACTCAGCAGTGAAACTTCCTGTTTCTTCCTGTTTCTTGTGAAATTAAAATTATTCACTTCTCCAATTCCTCCTGATGACCAACAATAGCTTCAGCATAAATCTTAGACATGAACCACATATTTGTTCTCCCCCTTATCTAAGGTCAGGTGACCTGGGAGGGGGGGTTCCACCCTGAACACGTCACCACCCTGTCACAGGGCCAATGCAGAGGCTCACATTTACCCGTTCTATGGGCAATTTACAGTCTCCAGTTAAGCTAAAGCCGCATGTCTTTGGACTGAGGGAGCCAGAGGGAACCCAGGAAGGCACAGCTAGAACACACAGCGACCTCGGTCAGATGATGGACTGCCACCCAGGGCCTTCTGCTGGTGAGGCAACAGTGCTAACCCTGGCACCACCGTGCTGCCCTGCATCATTATCTATTTAAAACCCACTAGCATAAAAAGGGTCAAACTGAGTTCAATCGTGTGTATGTATAAAACCGTCCACATGTAAACACTTGTTGCCCACAGAGATGATGTTTGCTCCGTGTCCTCTGTCTGTGTTTCTTAAATTTGTTACCATTTCAGCTCCTTAAAAATGTTCTCACATAAATAATTAATAGTGTGTTCATTAAAAAATGTCCACTCATATTTACTTTCAGACAAAATAACATAGCCAGTTAGCTTTCAGTCTGTTGGCCACGATGGTTTCACCCGAAACCCCTGCTGATGATGACCCACACATTCACACTTTGGCTCACGAGATGATGCACATGATCAGTAGTGGTTCCTCTTAAGGGACAAATCCACTCAGGTTCTTAGAGCTGAAGATAGAGCTGACACGTCTTCAGGAAACCAAACTAGTCCAGATCTGTCCAAGGTCCCCCCTCAGCCACAGATGTTTTGCATTAATGAGTGCAATCACATCTGTGGACTGATGAGTCCCTGACAGGAAGACCACGGTGTTCAGTTACTTCAGTCTGTCACTGCTCTTAGTGTCCTGCAGCGACTGTAACCACATCATTTCCTCAGGGCCTGGAGAACAATGTCCAGAAACCCAAACAGGAGAAATATGAAGGAAAACAAACAAACATAACAGTCCAGTCAGTATGAAACAGGACACACGGAAACAATCATGGAAAACCCACGGCACACATGTGAAACTAACGTGGAAAACAAGAAGCGAAACTCCAGAAAACAAGATGATAAAATCCTAAAATCAAACAGAAAACACGGAGCAGTGACCATCGCAGGAATGATCCTGACGTCATGGGAAACATGGAGAAATGACTCTAGTTCAGCTCTGTTAGCTCTAAAGCTGTTACACGTCTACTTTCAGCACAACACATGAAACTACAGCGTGTGTGTAGCAGGCTGTACCAGCTGCTGTAATGTGAGCTCCAGCTGTCAGGTCTTGAACCCAGACACACAGCTTAGTGTGTAGGAGAGTGCAGCTCTGTAGTCATAAACACACAGCAGCAGATTACAGGTCACACACTCCACTGAGACGGCTTTTCCTTCGCTCGCTCCTTCTGTGGGTCGTCAAACTACAGCTTACCAGCTCTGGGACTTCTTGGAGTTGTAGGGTGTGTTCGCTTCTTACTCCTGTCTCTCGACTGAAACTCAAAGCTACCCCCGCCACTCTGTTTCCTGTAGGAGGGACTACAAGGAGGAAGCAGCAGGAGATCTGCTGCTGTGAAAAACTTTCTTCTGTTTGTCAGAGATCAAGTCTTTATCAGGAAAATCATTGCAGACATTAACATTTGAATACTTCAAAGTAAAAAACCACAAACCTGCCTGGTTACACATATATGACTTAAGTATTTACTGTGAGGAGGCAAACAGTCCACAGATGAACAGATCAGGTGTGGGAAGTTTAAGACAGCCTGCAGGTTAAAGACGTGTACACTGCTCCAAAACATTCAAAGAAGACTTGTTCATCAGAGCTTAGGACCGTGTCAGTTACACTTCAGAGATATTGATCTGGTCAGTTAGCAGAAAGGGCTGTTAAACTAACAGCAGGGGGCAACACTGAGGAACCTGAAACAGGAACAGCTTTACAGGTGGAGGCACCTGACGTGGTTCACTCCTCAGCGTTTCTAACTCGGATCAGTGTCCTGCTGGGAATCTGGGATGACACCTGGAGTCCAGCTGTGGAATAATCACACGGTGTCCTCCCACTCACAAGTCCGGATCTGTGAACTGTGTCTCACAGCCAGTGTCCAACACCTGGCACAAGCTACGCTGTGGCATACAAAGACACAGGTGAAACCAGCCATCACCTGAATGCAAGGAAGTGTCCACTCCACCGCTGTCCAAACTTTCATACTAGATTTCATTTCTTTGTAATCTTCTTGCCAGTGATTCCAACAGGAAATCTAGAATCACCAGTTAGCCCCACCCACTAACAGATGTCTCTGGACCGTAGGAGGAAGCCAGCCAGGAAAATACGGGAGAACCTGCAGACTGTCCTCCTGTCTCCAGCGGACAGGTCGGCCTGGATGAAGCAGGGACACACCGGTGCCAAACAGATGGATGAAAACAAACGTTACGGACTCCAAACGTACTGCAAAAACTGTTTCTCACAGAAATGTCCCACGAGAAGCGCAACAGTGAGCACTGAACTACATACAGCAGTACAGCTGGTGCTATGGTGGGAGCTGCAGACGCTGAACCAGGACCTTCATTTGGTCTCCTTAAAAACAGAAACAGTAGCTCCACCTACTGGACATTATATCCCTAAGTTAACCAAAAATAAATAAATGGTAAATTTCCTGTATTTATATAGTGCTTTACTAGTCCCTAAGGACCCCAAAGCGCTTTACATATCCAGTCATCCACCCATTCACACACACATTCACACACTGGTGATGGCAAGCTACATTGTAGCCACAGCCACCCTGGGGCGCACTGACAGAGGTGAGGCTGCCGGACACTGGCGCCACCGGGCCCTCTGACCACCACCAGTAGGCAACGGGTGAACAGCGATGGCAGCAATAATGTGTTTGATTATCTTCTAATCCTGATTTGCCAACACGTTTAGCTGTCAGCTGTTCCCGATGCTTCAGCAGCTCGTCAATAAGAACACAGACGCAAGTTCATTTAAAGCTCTTTACCTGAAACGCAGCAACAAGTCAAACTGAGCTGAGAGCATGGACACGTCACAGGTCTGATCACTGCAGAGCACTCATCCTACTGAGCCGCTGTTCTTTAATGTTACAACTTTGTTCTTATTTTGGTTAAACTGGTGTTTACAGTACAGCTGCAGCTCCACGTGACTGTTACCTGTCAGAAGGTAACATCCACCTGTGTTCAGTATCAATGAATGTGGATACCTGTTCACGTCATTTGTGGGACAGCAGAGAGAAGACAGACGAGGCTTTCAGCATGTTACCTTTACAGTCCAAAGCGTGTTCAGTGTTTCCTCAGCTGTAAATTAACAGAATTAAAGGCTGAATACTTTGAGCCCCATGAAGGAGACCATCAGCTGTTAGTGTGGGACTGTATGCAGTTATAGAGGTTAGGATCTGTAACGATCCTCACACACACTGCTCACACTTCAGTATAACTCCTAACACCTGTGGTAAGATTAATGTGTCCAGTCTCAAGTGCAACTGGACACCACGTTAGAAAACCTCCCCCAGACTTGATGTGCGATTTCATGTTCAATGAAGACAAAGCCACGCTCTCATCACTTTTGTAATCAAAGCCATCTTTATTGATTATGTGGGCACAGAGAGCAGCCTCAGACTGCGTGCAGGGCCCTCCAGCGGGCCAGAGGGCCTCTGTTGGGGATGTATTTGACCCCACAGCCATCAGGAATCAGACGCTTCTCGGCCATCATGTCATCAAAGTCACAGGCGTTGAACTTGGTGAAGCCGTACTTCTTGGAAATGTGGATCTGAGGGCGAGAGCACAGACATGGGTTCAGCCTTTCAGTACACTTACTTACACTAAGTCCCTGATGAAGACACATTTTGTCTCAGTGGTCCCTTAAAGCACTCAGCACCTCCCAGCTGAGGACATACACAACCAAAGAGTCAGTGTCTGCAGCCTTTGCACACCAGAACCGCACCACAGCGAGACCGGTCGGCTTAATAAGCTGCAGGACTCACGTCACTTTACATTTATTACAGCAGGAGCTTTGGGAGTGTTTACCTTCTGACGACCAGGGAACTTGAACTTGGCTCTGCGCAGAGCCTCCACCACGTGCTCCTTGTTTTGGGCCTTGGTACGCACGGACATGATCACCTGACCGATGTGCACGCGGGCCACGGTGCCCTGGGGTTTACCAAAAGCACCACGCATTCCAGTCTGGAGCCTGCCCGACACAAAACAAGAGGATTACAGGATGAGCCAGACTGCGCTCAGTGCAGCAGGGCTACGGGTCAGTCAGCCTCTCACCTGTCAGCTCCAGCACAGGACAACATTTTGTTGATGCGGATGACGTGGAAGGGGTGCAGACGCATGCGGATGTGGAAACCGTCCTTACCGCAGGTCTTCACCATGTACTTGTTAGCACAGATACGGGCAGCTTCCAGAGCTACAGGGGTTGAAGCACAACATGCATGAAGTTATAGGCACCGCTGTTTGTGTTTGCCAACAACCCTGACTGACTGCAGCATTAACACGAGCCAGACAAACTGAGGAGGAGGGGCTTACTGAGGTCATCACACGAGTGAGAGCTGTGCTCTGACGTCTCTCTGAACCCAGGACTCGAACGCAGTCAAGACAAACTTTACTGTTCTAACCTGGAACCTTTACTTTCCCCTAAGACCCAACACTGCAGCTACCAGGCTCAGTGCATCCTCTAACAGTAACGTACTCATGCAGGCAGCAGTGCATGCTTCCTTACTGAGTAACGTGCTCAGGGTGTGGCTGAGCAGCCTTCCTCCTGTTACCCACTGTGATACAGCAGACCCTCCACAGACGAGTCACACATTAGCACCAAGTCTATCTGCCTGATGCACTGAACCTGTGACGAGCCCAGTTTAACGTTCATGGTGCCAGTAAGCAGCTGTGGCCCAGTTTAACTGGCTCCTTCCTCATATACACGAGTCTTTATGGAGCAGCTTTAAAGCTCGCAGAGAGTGTGTGCTGTATACTAGGATAGTTTTTATATTTAATATACAAGCTGTTACATTAGGTTACAAACATCTCACAGCTATACAATAGTTTCCCACAGTAGTAATCAGTACCCCCCCCCCCAACAAACACTGGGAACAGCCAGTGATCTAAACTGGAAAACGAGACTGGCTCATTCAGCTATAACACCTCTAACAAAACGTTTAAAGCAACCTGGTCTTTTAACCACAGAGGCCATCGTCTCACTGTCTTTATCAGTAAACTGCACTCACGGGCCAAAGTGTGCTCCTACAAAGAAGCACACACGTTACCAACAGGTGTGTTAGTCGTGGCTCCTGGTCTCCTCACCTTCTGATGACAGCTGCTCGTACTCATCAGAGACCATGTGGCCGCACAGGGGGAACTCATCCACCTTGGCCTTCTTCCTGCCCAGGTCAAAGATCCTGATCTTGGGGTCTGATGAGAACAGAAGAGGAAGGATAAGAACACTGAAACTCACGTCTGCATCAGCGAGACCAACTCATGGGCTTTTCCATCAGCGCCTACTCGGATCGACTGGAGTCACCTGACGCAGCTGTCGTCATAGCAACACGTCCCGAATAAACGTGTGACACGAACACTCCAACAAAGGTGGATGTGGAGAACATACCTGCTGCTCGGCCTGTGGCACGTCGTCAGACTCGGGGAACGAGACGCTCTCGTGATGCTACTGCCCAGCCAATCGGCGGCCTGCAGTCTGATGACATCACATTTTACTGCCTGCTCGGATCGTTTGAAACCCGGGCCAAGCAGGTACGATAAAGGTACCTTTATAGTACCTGGTACTACTATGACCTAATGGAAAAACGCGCTGAGCCGATCTGAGTAGGTACCAATGGAAAAGCAGCTTTAAAAATGAAACAATGATGACCAACTAATTAATTGTGAGCCACACAGCAGCAGCATTTTGTCTCAGTGGTCCCTTAAAGCACTCAGCACCTCCCAGCTGAGGACATACACAACCAAAGAGTCAGTGTCTGCAGCCTTTGCACACCAGAACCGCACCACAGCGAGACCGGTCGGCTTAATGAGCTGCAGGAGTCACAGCAGCCCACTGTGACAGTTCGGTCCAGAGGGGTGACCGTGATGTCACCTGAACATGGTCCCACTGAAGTGTTACAGACTGAAACAGGAAACATGGAGAACGTACCAGGCACACCCCTGCAGAAGCGGGACTTGGGGTACGGCTTGTTCTTGCAGTACCTGTAGCTGTGAGAGGAAACACACGTCACCAAGACTGAATCTTAGTGTAAGAGGTGGACAATCTATCAACACTTCAGCCAGCACGCTGGACCACATCAATCACATGCTGGCTACGCAGCTGTAACACCATCTGATTGACTGTAATCAGAGTTTATGATGTCAGAGCAGGAAAGATGAGACAAAAACTAAAAAAGCCAGAGTCTGTTCAGACACACATTTATCCTG